ATCACGCACTAAAGTGTGACAAGTCCAATACATGGAAAATTTGATTCTTTAACCTGCTTAATTAGGGGTGTAACAATGCACTCGAGTCACAATTATGTTGTTTACATGCACATCGTCAGACTTTTATATCATGATGTCTCAATATCACAATGTATATCATTACAGGCCTACAGTTGTGTAATGAATTGGACTGATTGCATCTGTTTTTGAGTTTGAATTTTACCTTCTGTAATATGGTGAGCTGCAAATTCACTGTATGAAATACTTGGTAATGTCCACATTTGTGTTTTACTACATAAACACAGTAGGTTTTATTGAAACAAGCTGTAATATAATGCAAAATCAATGTCATATACATTTCCCCGCTGCCGTAGTATGTGCTCTATATGAAACTAATGTTAATAAATAACATTTAGCCCTATTTGACAATTGTTTATTGTCGACACTCAAATTATACACTTTATGTCTTTACCTATTTTTATTACCATATGATCTGGTAAATTTTGTACTTTTCTGCACATCTAAATTGTCATTAATTATCGTTAGTAGTTAACCAGCATTCAGAGTCACCTACTGTAAATTCCCCGTTCTAACTGAACTATAGCAGGTCACCTTATCCACGTCTAAATGCCTAAATGCACAGACTTACTTCCATGTGATTAACTGATTAGATATTTGATCAGTGTAACACAAAAGTTGATTTACAGGTATACAGTAAATATGCCTTGTTAGACGATTTCTATGTAGACTCCCGCACACAGAGTACACACACTTTCTGTTCACTCTCTAATATACTTTTTAAATCTGTCTCCCACGTTCTTTCTTTCTCCTTGTCTGTTGTGTCGAATCATAAAAGAACTTGTTGTAAAAGATGTCCTACTTTCTAGGTCATGGCACTCCTTGCCGATGCACGGTTTCCTGTGGGTTGTGCCAGCGCTGAATTAACATTTAAGCCTAGGTGTCAACACAATACTTCACGGTCATTTGTCATCGGTCATTGCATTCAACATGTTTAATGAATTAATTGATAAAAGTGAGTAAGAAGCACTTGGGTTTGATTCTTGCCGTCATTATTGATTGGATTAAGGTGGGGATTTACAGCTGATTTGTCTATAATTAGACTTGAGCTAAAACCACTCAGGTACACCCAAATCTTCATCATTGTTAAAGCTGGCGTGAGAAACAAGTGCAGGCAGATATTGAATGAGACATGAGTGTGTAGGTTTACATGATAAACTGGCTCTTGTACGTTTGTAGATATCTGCGAGTGATGTTTAGAAGCAAGTAGGATGAGGAAATGATGAAAATGTATCAGATTTTTACGTATTTGTTAACATTTTCTGATTTTACTTTTCGCTGTGATTTTTTTATCAATTTCACTTGCTGTCTTCTGTACAGAACGCGTTGCTTTGAATACTTTGGATTAGTACAAGGTTGGACCACTTTCGCCTTGTTTCTTCATGGCATTGATTCAACAAGGGACTAGAAACATTTCTTAGATATTTTGATTCATTCTGACATGACAGCATCAGTTTTTGATATTTGTCGGCTGCACATTCATGAATTTCCTGTTCCAGCACATCTCGCAGGTTTTTTATAGACTATTTTGAGGGATGTAAACAAAAACAATAATCCCAACGTATTTGCTGTTTTACATTTTTAATTTCTGTAGCTTCCGACAATACAAAAAGGTGCACATATTGATAAATAATGTTATGTCAGCTGTTTTAACATCAAGTTCTGATTGAATTGTCTCTTGTTACAGTTAGGAAATAGTTTGATAACATGACCACACTGAAATGGTCTATGTGGACTATGTGGTGATTGTATAATGGACATTTAAGTATAGTGAATTCTCTGTCCTGTCAAGAAGCCAGTTTGAGATTTGAACTTGGCACCTTAAGTTGGTAATAAGGCATCCAATGTGTGCCAAGAAAATATCCACTGCCTACAGGATTATACAACCACTTTGTGATTGAACGGTGGATACAAGACCGTATGGATCAATGCTTTCATGATGTTTAACACAAATTGTGTCCTCGAAGCCAAATGTTGCAGTGGAAATGCTGGCTCATCAGACCAGGAATTTTATTTATTTATTTTTAATCATCCAGTTTTGGTGAGCCTTTGCTAATAATGCTTTAATGTTAGTTTGCTTGCTGTTTTTAGATTTTGAACCATTATCTGGTTATGTGTGAAAATACCAATTGATCAAAGACACAGAAGCCGTGGTCACACTGGACTTATCGCCCCTTAGACTTTTATTATGTATTTTTATTTATGTATTTTTGACAGACATTGCGGTTTTGATTTGCGATTTAATTTTGTGCTCAAGCTTCAGCTCAATAATCTGTATCGTAGCTTCTTACGCCTAAAATGCAGCGTTATGCTAAAATGCATGTTAGTTAACTGCTGAAAAGATATGAACATGCCTAAGTTAAACATTTATTCAAATTTGTTTTTAAATATTCAGAAATAAAACACTCATTGTTTATTGAGCAAACAGTAAACACAAAAAAACTTTCTGTAAACATGTTAAACTCAAATTAAGGAGATTGTACTTTGCTGTTGTACTTTGCTTGTTACTAGATTGAGTTTCACTGGCAATACTTTTTCAATAGTTTTTTTTTTAGCAAGACACTCCTCATATAGCTGCCTGTGGTGCTTTTTTAGGTGCTGGTGGTTGTTGTATTTCCTCGTGCCGTGGCAACAATTCTTACAAATTATCTGTTTTTGTTTGTCTTTGACTTTGAAACAAAAATATTCCCATATTACAGACATGCTGTTATTCTTTGATATTATTAGTCTGTTAATGCTTTTGAAGCTATAAATGCCATCATCTCAATTGTTAGCGCTTTCCTATTTATTTATTTATTTTTTTAATTAGTTTTTTTTTATTGTGGGTGTTCTGTTTGATTGCACAATTCTGATTGGGTAGAACGAAAATGCGCTCACTAAATTGACTTTCACACACAGACAGCAGTCACGCATTTGTTCTGGGCAGGGGAAATTAAATATTACATATATATTTCATATCGCAGCCTCTTGCAATTAGCTAATCAAAACATTTCAAATTGCGATTCGATTTTGATTAATCGCACAGCCCCAGTTCGCTGCATTGCAAAGTTCAAGCTTGGTGAACTCTGACCTGAGAATCACATCATGTGACTGCGTGAGACCAATCGAAGATCAAAACGTGACCTCTCTGGACCGAAATTTTAAATATGGAAAAATTACATGTTTTTTAAATGTTTAATCCTGCCCCTTTTCGCAGCGCTATACAACAGAATTTCACATGCTCAAACTAGTGTGACTGGCAAATGTCACTTAAATCACCTTTCCTCTACAATCTGATGAAGCTCAGCAGATCTTCCTGACTATACTTGCATTCCTCAATATGTTGAGTTGCTGCAATGTTATTGGCTGATTAGATATTTGAATTAAATGGTGCTTGAGCAGATTGTGACTATAAATGATCTGCTGAGTGTGTTTGTGACAAGTTACTATAAATTAAATTTAATAGAGAGTGTTACAGTTTGCATACTAATGGATAGGCATGAAACGATAATCGGTTTCAAGGTTCACCGCGGTTTGTAATTTTCAAGGTTTTAAAAGTGCTAAAAATGTTTGTTATACCATTAGTATATGTAATAATTTTGTATGTGTTTTTTAATGTGTTATACAGAAATCAGTGTTTTTGAAATGAATGAAATAGCAGGAGTCAATGATGTATTTTAATAATTTTGCCTGACATGTTTACCGTTACCAAATAAATAAATTGTTTCCTTAAATAAAATATATATTGTTCAAAGGAGGAAAAAATGTCATGTTTTTTACCCAGACATTTAAAAGGATTATATTTTAGAGCAGTAATCACAATAGCGTGAAACTTACATGCCTTATACTGGCCCATGCCTATTAGTGGCTGAGTGCTACATGTATCACCTGAAAAATAAATGAACTGTCTTAGATAAATGTATTAATATTATCGAATGGTTTGCAGATCTATAACATTTATTTTAACTGTCATGGATGTTTTTTTAACTGATGGTCTGGTGGGGGTTCTTAGTTTAAATTGTATGAAAAGTATTTTTAGAATGAATATACTAATTTTAATGAATCATCTGGTGGGTTTGCTGTTATGTGCATTGATTTTTGAACACTGGGCACACAGCCCGCTGTCTTTAGTGAAATGTAGTGTATCTGGAGAGGTGCCAGTGTTTTCTTTATTTGACAAAGAGGGAGACAGAACGAGAGAGAATATGCGACCTATGGTCTTTTTTATTGAGGCATTTAATCAGCAGAGTTTGTAAATACAGTTTAATTAAAAATCACTCCTTGAACCTAGTTGTTATGTACATAACAGATTATTAATTTGCGCCCGACATTTAAAGGTGCACAAAAGGAAAGGTTAACCAATTATTACAGTCGTTACATTGTCAGCAGTACTGTACAGTATACTGAACTTGTCATTTATTTGTCATATAAAGTGCACTGGATGATGGAAAACCTATATTTTTTCCTTTACTTGGCATGTTGCCAATTTGCTACTACTTTTTACAAGACGTTTCAAGTTGCAGAATTAATTGATTTATGTTTAAAAACTTCTAAGAAAATGACTAAAACTAGTCCAAACTAAAACCCTCTTTTTGTTTTCTTCCACAGATTCTCCTGTTTCCATCACTGTCTACAGGAAGAAAGAAAGTTCAATGCCAATGTACTTTAGCACTTTTGGCTGCAACTCAGGAGTCACGATATCTTGATGATATATGCTCGTTTTTGGTATTTAAACGCTGGCCAGCCATCCGGACATAACCTCAGCATCTTATCGGCTGCCAATCATCAGTAGGCCAGCACCGGCGGCCAGCCATCAGAGATTTGTGAGTAGTGGCTAACCACTAGCATTAGGTGGTTAGCGTGCGGCGTCTATTAGCATTTCTGTGGGTGTTTAGAGTGGAGAAGACGCGAATGGGACACGCCAGCCTTCGCAGACAGCCTGAATGGGAGAAGGAGTGAGCATGGACAACCTTTCGGAGTTTGGAGGCCTTTGTCCGTCCAGCCGGAGGGAATGGGAGTGAGTCTGCATTCATGTGTTGAAACGCTTGTCCTGTTTGTCCATTTATAATTCATTTGCTGTGTTGTTCTGTGAGATGATAAAGTTTTTTTTCTGTATTTGCAGCACAAGCAGTTGTGTGGATGATTTAATGGACGAAGATGAGAAGGACAGAGCAAAAAGGTCTGTGTGTGTTTTTTGACTCTTAATGCTAACAGTGCAAGTTATTCAGCGACACGTCGAAAAATAAAAGTCTCACATTAGACTGTAAACCTGTGAACTTTAATTGTGTCCGGAGATTTTAAAGAAATCACACCTCTAAAAGCTCTTCACACTTTCACTCGATATAATAGATTTTCTTTATGAAAGAGTGTCTAGAAAGAAAGCAGCAGAAAGAAAATGGTATGGGTTGATAGGATGTTTTTTTTTTTTTGTAATGGGAGAAATGTATTTTTTTAATATGTTTTGCACTGAAAAAAATACTGTGAAAATGAACAATATTAATATTAATTATAACTTTAATAACAATTTTATTATTTAAAAAAGGAAAAGCTGTTCTTTTATATTAATAGTGATTCCCTTCAATCAAAAAAAAAAAAAAAAAACAGTAGTTTGTCAGCTTGTATAACAATTGTCCGCCACAGAAAGATGGCTACCAGCACAGTGGTTTTAGATCAAAGGGCCTTAAAGGGCACCTATGATAAAAATCACCTTTTGTAAGCTGTTGGAACAGAAATGTGTGTGGGTATAGTGTGTTCACAGTCATATTGGCATGACATAAAGACAATAAGTCTATTTTTTTACATTTCCTGATGTTAAAATAGGATCTATATCCCTCCCATTTTAAGGCCCACCACAACATAACGTAGGGGTTTCCCCGCCCACTGAATCGATTGACAGTCGCACATTAACATGTCTTGTCTGCGTATAATCATCATGTGTTGAGCTCTCTGTGATTATCAATCATAATCAAATGTGCTCAAGAATGAGTTTTACAAGTTTAACACATTATTAAGCCAGTGCATGTCTGTAATAAAGTACAGACAGTAAAATCGATATGTCATTCATCACCACAGCAGCATGTCAATACAATTATAACAGAAGATGCTTTAATCCCGGTTTGTGGAAAATCTGGTTTATTTTGTACATTTAAATAACGGATATCCATACAGCAGTGGATATTAATGTGTATCCTGTCCCATTTGCAGTGCAAAAACAGTGGAAAGTTAAAAACGCATGCTGTGTATATGTGTGTGTGAACATTGTAACGACAGTGAATACGTTTACATGGACACCTATAATCCAATTTTAATACGATTAAGACAATACTCTGATTAAGAGTGTACCATGTAAACATCAATTTTTTATTAATTTAATCTGATTAAGGTCATAATCAAACTAAATTGAAATAGAATTAGACATTTGGAGTATGCCGATATTAGTCGCATTATTGAAGTGCAGTACAGACATGTAAACACCGCAATCAAACTATTACCGTCATGTAGGACGTTTCACTGCGTTTTGCGACAGGATAATCCATAGACGCACGGCTGTTTGACACTATTCTCTGCACTTATTGAGTCAGAGAAGGACCACAGACACTCGCAAAATGCGAAGGTTTTTTTTTTAATCAAATTCTATTAAAACAACACTCTTTCAGCAGTTCCTTGCATCCAATATCTCGTTTCTCTTGGTAGGCATTCATGAAATGTACCTCAATGAAAGTGAAAGTGCCAAACTGGAATTAAAGTCGAGGAAGTAAAAATGAAACACCTGAAATTACATGAAACTCTGGAGGTAATCAGGTAATGACACAATGACGTCAATCGAATTATGTGCTATAACATGTAAAACAGAATCATGAATGTAACATTTAAAAAGCAACTCGTGTAAACACCTTAATCATTTTATTGTCTTATTCAGATTAAAGCAAATACCTTGAATAATGTAAATGTAATCACTGTGTGTGACTCGTCGTTGCAGAAAGGCTTGAATTAACTCCACAATAAATACATCAAATAATCATTGGGAAAGTTCTTTTTGTAGTATTTCCTCACAAATGTTATGTTAGAGCTGGTTCCTTCATGTCTGTCACTGTGCTGTTTATCTGACGCAGCAGGAGATGGAGACACACATCAGAGCCATAGGAAGCGATCTCTGTGGCTCTGACAGGCACGTGGGAATGGTGGGCAGGGAGAACTAGCTCATTTGCATTAAAGGCACAGGCAACAAAAAAACAGCTACATTGTGTGCAGAGCTGAAAATTCCAATATTCCGAAAGGTATAATAAATAATCTGAAAAGTGTTTTGGGCTGAAACTTTAGTTGAAACACATTCTGGAGACAAAAAAGTCTTTTTTTAAATCTTGATAAAGGACTAAAACAGGTGCCCTTTAAATTATGAATAAATTGTTACTTTTGTTCCATTTACATTGAGCATTTTTGTGTAGTTGTAATTTTTAAATAGTAGTTTTCAAATGAAAACCAGTTCCTACAGGCATACACAATTTCAATATCTAATAAATTCATCAAGGTAATCATTTATTTCTGTCCATCCCTCTTTTTTATGCAGGGCGTCCCGGAACAAATCGGAGAAGAAGAGGCGAGACCAGTTCAATGTTCTCATTAAGGAGCTGTGTACAATGCTGCAGGGTCAAGGTCACCCCCGCAAGATGGACAAATCCACCATCCTGCAGAGGACCATCGACTTCCTGCAAAAACAGAAAGGTCAGGGAGGAAATCATATCATTTCAAATCATTCAGTTTTCTTGTATCTAAATATTCTTTGTTGATGACAATTATAGAATCTATATTGGTGTCTATTTATAATAGAGCTGAACAATGTTTTAAAAAATGTCGGTATCGCAATAATAGTATATGCAATCACAGAGAAGAATTTGTGTCAAGCATTAGTGTGTAGCAAACATAGGTTGTTTTTCAAAATTTTAAACATCAAAGTTCCTGGATTATTATGTGGATGCTAATGGTCTAATCCAATTCAATGATGTATGCTAAGCTAAGCTAAAAGTGCTCCTATCAAACCCGGCTGAATGGATTAAATATGGTACAACTCTACTGTTTAACCCTTTCACATGTGAGTTGTACAGTAAATACTCCAGGTGATCCTCCTGCGTGAGTTTTTTTATGACCATTACTTAGAATGCATTGCATTCTAAATTTCCCATGGCTAAGTTTATCACGTGACCCACCAGCCCCAATGATCTATGTATATATAGTATTTTGTTTCTTTTTGTCCTTTTCTGTAAATTTTTCTACAAATGTTATTATATTGTGAAATTTCTAATACTCTGATTCTAAAATATGTGAGAGAACATATATTTTGTCTTTTAAACAGCTTAATAAATTGCATTATTTGTTATATGATGGGTAATGGGTGATGCCGTTGTTGCTAGAAGAAATACAGCTGTCATCGGAACTTAAAGGGAAGTATTTATGTTATTTATTAAATTATGCATCAGTTTATTAATCTTTCACTACCTCAACATTCATGGTAATGTAAAAACATTAATTGTTGTACAGCGTCACAAAATTTATGCTATATTAACGTGAGTATCCTCAGCTGTATATCATCTAGGCTTCACTACTCTGCAGGAGAGGGTAAAGTCTAGATGGGATACAGCTGAAGATACTCACGTCAGTATAACACAATTTTGCTTAATTTAATAAATAATATAAATACTTCTCGTTAACTTCCGATCACAAGATTTGTGAGATTTGAATTTTAGCAGTTGATGACGTGTGCTCTGGACGTTGTAATCACACCAGTGTGATTGTACACTTCAGAGACCAGCCAAGGCTGATCACACCGGTGTGATCGTACGCATGAAAGATTTAACTCTAGGAGGAGTTTAAAAATTAAACAAATAATGAAACAAATGAAATAAAAATTGGAGTGCCCCTTTTAAAGTCTTATGTTTACACCAGTTTTTTTGTCTTAATTAGATTAATTTAAAATCAGGATGATCATTAAATTTCTAAATAAACATTGCATTTCTCTAGGGAAATGTTATAGCACAAGAAATATAATTATTGCAATATTAAACATCCCAAACTTTCCCAGTATCACACATGCTTATCGTTTAACTTGCCAATTTGAATGAATTTTCAGGTTGATGTGTTTTCGATGTATTATATGATAGCTTCATTCCATACATACTTGCTAATAAAATTGAAAAAGTAACCAACAAACCCAAGTCTATATGTCACTCATAACGTCTAACACAAGAAGAGTTGGTTTTCATTTCTCACTGGCACAAAAAACACGAAGACGGGAATCATGATTCTGTTCCTCATGTTTGTGCATGCAAGGAATATTCTGCATATGTGTGGTCTCTTGGAATTCTGGAGTAGAAACACCTTTCGGCATTCAGATTAACTTGTTTTTCCAGAGAAGTAGAGAAGTAAACCTCATTAGAAGACAGGCAAGTCACAGACGTTTTGTTTAGACAGTTGGAGTTGATTTGATTGGGCCGTCTCACATCAGCGACGTCATGCTATTACTGCCAAAAAATGGATTTAGATTTTATTTACCCTCTTATTAATTTTAGAACCGAATAATATTTTGCATTCGGTGGGAGGAGCCAACTCCTGCGATTTCTCCAGGGAGTGTCACTACCAACACCTCTGTGTGCCAGGAGCCGCTCTCCGATGGGCCCGCTTCCATTTCCTGTCTGAATCCAGGGCACAGCTGTCAGGCCGTCGGCAGAACGTTTGCTGGCAGCACATTTCACAGCTCCTACAAACAGTGCCATTTTCAACTTCCACCAGTCTCACACTTCCACAGTGCTTGATTTCCATTTCTGTCCATTTTCAGCCATGCAATGCCTTTCTCCGAATTCCACAATCAGGTTCTCACAGCATTCCGAAATGTTTTCCTGCTGTTTGATGTTTTCCAGAGATCACGGCACAAACAGAGTCTTGTGAGGTCCGGCAGGACTGGAAGCCTTCTTTCCTCAGCAACGAGGAGTTCACCCAGTTAATGCTGGAGGTAAAGCAATCTTCTATGCCTTATATCTGCCTCATAAAGCCTCAGTTTTTTTGTAGCCTTGTGAGAAAACGGTAAGATACACTTAATGTCAACACATGTATTTGCGAGGCTATGAGATGTCCTATAGCACAGCTTCAGGCTCATCTGTGTAGCATGCTTGAAAGAAAAGCACATTACAAAAAAATAGAGTCATACACATTTAACTTTAACCAAGAAGCAGAAATACAAGATGCGAATATACTTAAAATTATGTAGAAAAAGAACAATAGAGGATATGAATATGCTTTATGATGCAGAAATACAGGATATTAATATATAGTCAGTCTGTGAACTGCATTCCTGTAGCCTGAAACCCGGAAGTTGAGCTTTTTATGGGGCATTTTTCTGAATTGTCCTGTGAGTTTCCAGTATTAAGGAAACATTCACACATGAACACTTCCTTTCAAAAACAACCTCTGGCTCTTCTCAGTTCCCAGTCTCAGACTGTCAAAGGTGCAACTCTGATGATTCAGCCTTTTAGCAGCAGTGATGTGGGAAGATGTTATGGCTTGGGGAATCCTTCAGTTACTTCTTGTTACATAAAAACAACAGTGGAGAAAAAACAACAACAACTGTGTAACCTCAAGAGCCTGATAGACAACATTCTGCAGCTGCCTGGGTTTTCCATGACCGGTATGCTGAACTTCAATATGAATGAGTTATCTTGCAAATTGATTTAAATGAATGTTTCTATGTGTGGGGTAACACAAACATGATATAAAGTTTAGCTCAGTGACTCACTGAGTAATGACAGAGTTTTTGTGTGAGCTATTTTTTAAAGAGATTCTAAATGCTGTTAATTTACTTGCCCTCAAGCCATCCAAGATGTAGGTAACATTTATAATTCAGTAGTGTATTTAAGAAAATGTGCTTAACAGCTGAAAATATGGTGCAAATCAATGACTACTGGGATTCTGAGAGTTAAATAAAATATATAGAAAGAAAAACTAAAGTAGTACTCGGGTATTGTCATGTGGATAAACTGACCCTTTTAATAACGGCAAAGACTGTTGAATACACAAGACATGTCATTTGTAGAGTTTTGAATAGGGTAAAGTGTAACGGTTAATATGGCAAATGAAGCTCTGCATATACTAGTACAGAAGCCAATCATCGTTTCTCTGAGGGAGAAGCTCAGACCAGATGTGTGCTTTTACGACAGTTTGGTGGTCAACAAACGCATTGGAATCATGGCGAACACTTGCTTCACAGACGTAAGAAATATATCCAAATAAAGCTTGAAACATAAAGGTTTTTTGGTTTGGTAATCGTCATACAATGAATGCGAGGTGCAGTCCGTCCTGTCAAATGCATGTCACATGACAGCAACTACTAAAATACCCACAAACTAGTAAACAAAGAGTCGCTGTCATTTCTGGAGGAGATTCACCAACAAGACCAAGTTGTAAATTACTTAAAAAGAGCATCGCAATCAGACCATCATTATTTAGAGAATGATAATGTGTAGAATAGCCATAAACGAGGTTGGTGTCGTGATCTCTTTCTTTCGAGTGCGCATGCACATAAGCTCAGGCAACCTAAAAAACTTCCCATTTTGTTTGATTTGAATGTTTAGAAATTAAACTCAGTTGTCGATTAATTTTATTGGTGATTCTAAATATATAATGTAATGGTAAGGGTAAGCTTGGCAAACAGTTTTTGAGAATTTGATGTTTCCCCAGCGTTTCAAATTTGGCCGCCAAAAGAAATGACCTATCTTAAAGGGACTTTAATAACAGTGAGCAGGAACAGTGTCATCAGTGTATTATAACTACAGAACGGTTAAGCTTTTGATAAAAAAATAGGAATTTTGAGCAAGATGCTAACGGTCAAATTTGATTTAAAAATGTATGCTAAGCTAAGCTAAAAATGCTCCCATCAGACCTGGAGATCAGCTGAATGGATTCTGAAATGGTAAAATATACTGTTTAACTTGTGGGGAGGGGTAAAATAAGCCTATTATTTAAATTAAATTAAATGTTATTGTTATTATTTTTAAAGTAGTGGAGTGTTCCTTTAAGTTTAAAGTCTAAATGTTTCACCTTAAGAGTTTTTTTTTTTTTTGCCTAAACTTGATAACATCAATTTGTATGAGAATTTCTGCTCATTCATGACATCATTTTGTGTGTTTATGGCAGGCGTTGGATGGTTTTCTAATAGCTCTTACCACAGATGGGAACATCATATATGTATCTGACAGCGTCTCGTCTCTCATTGGCCATCTGCCGGTAAGTGAGACTCCAATGCAATAAATTTAGCTCGACTGAATAAAGTAAACTTGATATAATGCATCACATTTTATAAAATGACCTTCACTATTATGATCGTCTAGCAAACTCATGTTATTAGTAATATAACCGTCATCTTTCTCAACATAGAAAACACCGCCCACACAGCAGGCTTTCTGTAGGATGTTGAGAAGCGTCCCCTGGAAATGCTTCATGTTTATTTTTTCTTTTATTTTGAATCATGTTTGTACAGTATCTGAAAATCATAATATTATGCTTGGAGATGTTTTTTTTCTGAGATCCTCAAAGCTGAAGTGGAAGCTTCTTGGCAGTTATTACAGAGGGGAAAATAATAATTACTTGAACCACTACTCTTAACTTGGAAATGCATTAGAATCCATTCAACCTGTGATGGCATACTGACAGTCTAATGGGATTTGCCTTCCAAACTTTAGACTTTGACATTAGATCAGTTCCTGCTGTATGTGGGTCACAAATGCGGTTTGATAACACTAATGGTTCCTTTTCTTGGTGTCAAACCCTTCATGACCTTTGCCCTAAAGAAACCTGAAGGCTTAACAGGCCTTTGTTATTGAGTAACAGAACAAGCTGAGCTCAGGTGCCACCGAAGGTCATGTGTGGCCATTATGGATGTACTGAGATTGTGCTAATACTCTTATGATTTCAGCGGCATGCTGATTAAACGGGAACCAGTCCCAGTAACAGTGCTATTTTAGAATTGGTTATCGTTCTATTTATATATTATTAGCTTTGTGTAGTATTTATGTTTTAAATTATTAATGCTTTCATTGTTTGTTTTTGCTTCACATTTTTGTGTTTGTGTTTATCTAGAGCTTTATTACATTATAGTTAATTACTTTTGTATTTTACTGATTTACTCATTATTTACTGATTAATGATACAAGGAGTGATTCATCATAAAAAGGCATAAATTCATTAATTCAGCCATTGTTTTAAAAATAAAACCATAAAACTACTGATAATGGTAATATTAAACATTATAATGACGACAACAATATTAAAATAAATAAAGACTTCTAATATAATAACAGTTATAATAATAATAATCTTAATAATAATAAAAAATAATAACATTAATAATAACAATAACGTTAATAATAATAATAATACTTAAAACTACTGATAATAATAATAATATTAACCATTATGATGACATCAACAATATTAAAGTATATAAAGACTTCTATGATAACAATAATAACAATAATAATAATAATAGTAATATTATTAATAATAATAATAATAAAAATAACGTTAATGATAACGATAATAATAATACTTAAAACTACTGATAATGGTAATAATATTAACCATTATGATGACATCAACAATATTAAAATAAATATAGACTTCTATTATAACAATAATAAAAATAATAGTAATAATAGTAATAATAATAATAATATTAATAATAATAATACTTAAAACTATTGATAGTGATAATAATAGTTATCATTATGATAACATCAACAATATAAAAATTTTTTAAAAGACTTCTTTAATAATTACAAATTATAACATTAATAATAATAATAATAATAAAAATAATACTTAAAACTACTGATAATAGTAATAATATTAACCATTATGATGACATCTACAATATTAAAAAATTTATAATATATATTATATAATATAATATTATTTATAATATAATAATAACTATAATAATAATAAATAATAATTCATAATAATAATTATAATATTAAAATTTATCTACTAAGCAATTGTTATTTCATTTTTGTGATTGTGGTTATATATATATATATACTGTAAGTGCTATGTATTGTGGGAAATGTATTGCACAGTGTAGTCCTTCTGAAAGAGAGTAACTTTGTCATATACATTGCTGTGTCTTAGTCAGATATGGTGGACCAGAACATCCTGAACTTCCTGCCAGAGCGAGAGCACGCAGATGTGTATAAACTCCTGTCTTCACACATGCTTCTGACTGAGTCTTCTACTGTAGACCTGCTCAACAGCAGTGAGTAAACTGCGCATAAACACACACACATGCACAAACACACAGACACACACACACACACACACTAAAAAAGAATATGTCGTTGTATTTGTCGGCTGTGTTGTGCTCCATGATTACACTCCAGGCTAATTATAGAGGCTCCGTGTGTGCAGTGTAACACAGATTATCTGTTACCACACTCTAATAATCCCACATACAGCTCTTACCCTGACCTCAATCCCTGAAACACACACACACACTAATACTGGGATATACTGGTTGAAAAAAAATGGACAGAGCTGACTTATTGATCTCAGTCAATCACAACAAGCACCTACTTCACTGGTCAAACACAACCACATGCAAACACACAAACACAATATGTACACATAAGGACACACTTTCTGCTGCATGGCTCACTACTGCACTTCAGAATCATGAAAGTCACACTGAGGCCACAGCCATAGCAGACCATTAAAGCTGTAGTGTGTAAACTTTTTGGTATAAAATTATTCAAAACTCATTTTTAAACTAGTATATAACCAGCCAGTGTTCAAAAACATGTCCTCACTTTAACCCTGAATTACAATAGCAAGCCTGTAATAAAGGTTTCTCATTTGAGTGCTACTGGTAGGTTTTCACTGGAAATATGAGCTTGCCACCTTTCATCATTAGGTCACAATTGTATACATACAGAAGGACTCGCGGCTAGTAGGCTAAATGAGGCTATGTGTAGAGCTGCAGGTTACAGGTCAATTATAGTCTTGATAATTATTCTTTTAGTTTCTTTTTATATGAAATTCAAATGGTGAGACCATTAAAGATTAGACTGTAGAGAAATTTAATTCTACAAGTAGTGCTAATACACACTAAATACACATAATTGTTCAATGATGATGTTAAGATGAACAGCTTTAGAGTAAAGCATAACAAAAATAATTAGCATTTTTGTGATATGAGCCTTCAACTGATATTTAGGGTGTACTTACACTAGGCACAGTTGTCTTAAATCTAACCCAGGCGCAATTGTCCCTTCTTTCCTCTCCCCTCGGCCTGCACTCACACTGCATTCTTTGCCTTCCGAGCCTGAGCATGCTTATGTCCACGATGATGCGACTGTTCAGTTTAACAGAAGAGAAGCGCTCTCGCTCCGTACAATGAAGATTGCTTAAGTAATATTGTTTCATATTATTTTAAGTCTTTTAAAATGCAGTGACACACAGTCAAATCTTTGCTGAACAGATCCAACACTTTTGGCGCTTATAAATATTCATGAAATTCAATGAGCTGCAGGTATTAGGAGATTTGCTGAAGATGCAGCTGACATACAGCCAAGGGTTTGTATCTTTAATAAACTATGACAGTTTGCATTATTGGAAAGTAAGAATGATTAATTAATCCATATGAAGCAGTGCCTTAAAAGTGAGATTGCGTCTTCAGTTTCATGCTCAGGCACGCTTTGCACTCACACTACAAGTGTACCATGGCAAATCCCAACCGGACCGTGCTGTGACACAACTGGGCTAGAGCTGACATACTGAACCGCACCTGGGCCTGATTCAAAGTACTCACACTTGTCAAATGATTCGGGAAATGGGGGTCAAACGCGCCTGGGCACGGTTCGGATAGCCTAGTATGAGAACACCCTTAGTTATTTTATTTAGTTGGTTTAAAAAAGTGGCAGACATGCGACTTGTTTAGATGATATTAGCTGGTGAAAGTGTTGCTCACTACTAGATTGAGTGTCACTGGCAATACTTTCCACTGACTTTTTAGCAAGACACTCTTCATATAGCCACCTGGGGTGCTTTTTTAGGTGCTGGTTGTGGTATTTTTTTCAATTACCTGTTTTTGTTGGGTGTCTGTGACTTTGAGACCAAAATATTCCCATATTATCAATGTCCTGTTTTTGTTTTACATTAAATCGTCATTAATGCTAATGCCATCATCGCCAGTTGTTTGTATTTATTTATTGCGGGCTTTACGCATAGTTCGGCTGCGCAATTCTGATTGGGTAGAACGAAAGTGTGCTCACTCAATTATCTAGTAAGACTATCATACAGAAATGGAAGTCACGCATTCGCTCTGGTTGGGGGAAATTTAATAATTCACATACATTTCATATCGCAGACTCCATGCTTGGGTAATCGCAATGTTTCAAATTGCGATTCGGTTTTAATTAAACGCACAGACATACGCTCAGATATCCAACATCATAACTAACTTTAAACAGGAAACAGACAGATTTGTCACTTTTTAGGGGTCCCTTGACACATTTTCGTTGTGGGTTGCAGTATTTGTAGCATGTTTCTATGTTTGCATGTATTGTGAGAATTTGCGTTCACTGTTCACATTGATGAAGATGTTTTGCCAATTTGAAATTTTTTTTTTTGTTTGCATGTGTTTTCTTAACATTCAACCCCATTTGAGTTCTCGGCCATCAGAATCATGATTTAGCAAACCAGCGATTGTAATGCACATCTTGTCATGGAAGCAAAAACCATGATTCATTGAGAAGATACACAAACAGCAGTCATTATTGCATAACTATCTCAATGTTATTATCATCAGATGAAATAGAACTTTTCAAACTGATTTTTGTGTCGCTTATCAACAAACTACATAAAAACGTGAAAAGCATTTTGGCTACGTGATAGCACATGCTGGAGATTTACTAGAACCTGCTTTACTGACAAAAATGCGCATGAAAATTGCCTTTAATTAATCGACCAGCCATAATTTGGGTCAAACTTTAAGATGTAGACTCTGTGATTGTGAAGTACAGTATATACAGCAGCACAGTCACTGACAACCACGCACACTCTTATAAACATGCGACTCAAGCCATGCAAACATTCTTCATTTGACTTTAATTGCAGGTTTCAAACAGATGGTGACAAAGAGGTACAACTTACAGTCTGCAGTTTAAAACGTCAACTTGCTGTGTTCACCAGACAATCTGAATTGCTGTTTTATTAGCAGCTAACTCTCTCCATGTGCACTCTGTTTTCTTTCAGATGAGACACACGTCGAGTTCTGCTGTCATATAGCGAGGGGAAACATTGACCCGAAAGAACCGCCTACGTACGAATATGTCAAATTTGTTGGAGATTTCAAGTTTCATAATAATGGTAGGTTTTTATTTTTTATTTTTGCATCAACATCCGTGTCTCATTCAGCACAAACCAAGATGCTAACAAAGGATGTATAGATGTACTCTAGATCTGTTTAAGATTCGATAAGCATTTGTAGTGAGCATGCATTTTGTCGTTTCCTATGCATTTGCTTGAGGAAGAAATTTAATGAGGAGTAAGCATTTGCCTATGTTGGAATTATTGGTCTGTCCCCTGATTTGCATGTAGAATGTCATTGTGAGGTGATGTCTTTACTAATATAGAAGTTGCGAATGAGAGGAATCTTGAAACTAAAATGAACAAGAAACATTCAAAACTATGAAAAGAAAAAACATTTATGAGTCATTTATAGGGTTAGACTTGCATTCATTTAAGTTTTTTAAAAGTAGTATAAAAAGTTTATTATACGCTAACATAATTTAAGCATATTAAAGTCAATACCTATATATTTATTTTTTAAGACATTTTTAGATTTTTTTAAATGTGTTTTGTAAAATTGTTAAAAGTTTATTTCATAAAAGTAAATTTTAGTTTTTGAGTTTATATATACTGTATACATTTTCACTCGAACTGGTGATCAACAGTAAAAATTACAAATTTTATCTCTTCTCAACTAGGGATGCAACCATTATAGATTTTGGTTGTACGATTATAGTCTGATTAATAATCATGGTTTCACTATTATCACGATTAATGCATTCATTAATTTCAAAACACTACTAGTTTAGAAAATCATATGAAAACTCATATTTGAATAAATAACAGAACAATGAATAAATAAATTAATTAAAATAAGAATAAATAAAGAATAGTATTTGTCTAATGAAAATCTAAGCATCATATTAGCTAAGTATTTCATTTTAAAGAGAACAAACATAGTCAAAGGCTGCTAAACCTGTCTGAAAAGCACGTCTATATTATGCACTTGTTAACTTGTCAACTTGTTATTAACTATATTATGAACTTGTTTGGTATTTTCATTTTTAGCAAATGTGTATATTCCATACAAAGTATGAAGCCGATCAGCCAGTCCTTGTCACGTGACTCGCAGCATTTTTTCAACTAGGTGTGCCTGGAAAGCATGAGCACGTCATTCCCAATATGCGCACAAGAATATTGTTTAGTTGCAGCTGTTTTGCTGACAATGATTTAATAACCAAGACGAATTAAAGCACAATTAATAGTGAAATCATTAATCGTTGCATCCTATGTCCAACAGGGAAAACCGCCAACGATAAAGAATGCATGATCATATGGTGTCATGGCTTTAGTTTGCAAACAAAGTAATTATAATTGAAGTCAATTGGGCAAAAACAGGCATGAACATAACAAATGGTGGTAAATTTGCCCATAGCTTATTGTTGAGTTTCAAGTTCCAAAGCATTTTCCCAAAAATTGTGTCCAAATACAATTTGTCACCAAAAAATAATTTCATTTGCTGAAATACAGAGTAAGATGTGGCTAAATTAAGACTTAAAATCACCCCAAGTGGATGAAAACATCCCCAACATCACCCAAGGGTTAATATTTATCTGTCCACTGTGGGTGTTTTCCTTTAAACAGAATGTGTTGTTTTTGTGTGTGTTCCAGTGCCTCTGTCTTCATGTAATGGTTATGATCTGGCGTTTCCTCGCACGCTGCAGTCCTCAATAGAGGAGCAGGTCTGCCTCGTGGCCACAGTCAGACTCGCAACCCCTCAGTTCCTCAAGGTATACACACTCATTCACATACACACAAAATCAATATCACACACACTGCTCACTTTCACCATAACTTCAAAGAACACGCAGCCTTATTCTGTGTATGTGCATGTGTTTATTAAAGGATCTTTGCAACGTGGAGGATGTGTGTGATGAATTCACATCAAGACACAGTCTGGAATGGAAATTTCTCTTCTTAGATCACAGGTGAGTCAAATGCTGCTCCATTATGCAAACGACTCCTCTGCTGTTATGATTCTGCACGAAGCTCCTTTGGTTCATTCGATCAGAGGCTCTTCCTGATTATGTCATGCTTTTGATTCATTCATCAGCCGCTGACCCACTTACATTTGCACATTCAGGCTTTCCGCTGTCCCACGCATGGCTAGGGGTGTCATCAGTTCTGCATGTGCTTTGAATCACTTTGCACACTCTATTTTAATGTGATGTTTTTATTCGGCTGTGTGGCCATTCATAAATTTTTAGATGGAGACAATTTACTCAGGAGGCCTTCCTGACCCCCTGAGAGTTACATAACCGTGTGTGTATGTGTGTGTGTGTGTGTGTGTAATGCTGTACTTGATGTCCTGTTCCCTACAGAGCTATAATTGGACATTCGGGCTGTCTCGTCAAATGCTCTCTCTCTCTCTCTCTCTAAAGGGGAAAATATTTCATTTCTGGAGCAACAAAAATATTGTCATTTTCCAAACACTCCTTGCATTTTCAGTCAGTGTGACAGATGGTCCTGCCTACAATTGTAATTTGCTTAAGATAATCATCCGACCGAGATTAACAAACATACCTTGCTTTGAGACCATTTTTGAATTAGAAATGCATCCAATAAAACGTTTTTAATCTTCGGTGAATTTCCCCAATATTAACATTGACTTATTACTGAACGATTAAAGGTGCAGTATGTAAGTTAGAGATCTGCGCAGGACTAAATTTTGAATCCCGCACCCGCCAGGTTTTAGCCCGAACCCGACTGCTCCCGCTTACATTCAGCATTTGTTGTCCCGCTGCTCGACCCGCCTTGTTTTCTACCCGCCGCGCCCGATCCCGTTAAAGAGCAGGGGGGAGAACAAAACCGAAAACCAACCTGCTATATACCAGGCTATAACAAGCTGTCTGTTTAAACACACACACACACATAAGCACCAAGCACACACACACAGACAAAGCTCTCTCTCTCTCTCTCTCTCTCTCTCTCATTCCCGCACGCGCACTAACACACACATACACACACACACACACACATTAGCATCAAGCACACACACAGGCAAAGCTCTCTCTCTCTCTTCATTCACGCGTGCACACACACACATACACACACAGCAACAAACAAGCTAAATACAGCATCGCGCTATTACATTTACACACATACATACACGTGCTCGCTCGGGAGTCGGGAGTGATATTGCTAGACGGCCTGCTCCCGTCCCAAATTAAACCCGTTACCGACCTCTCCCGCGCTTTATTGGGAAATTTATTTCGGGACAGCCGCGGGAATGCAGACCTCTAATGTAAGTTTGACACCCAGTGGTTGAAGTAGGTATTGCACGGCCTGTGTCAAAACACATGCAAGCTCAGGTTTCCAGATTGATTGACACCAAGAGCTGTGTGCCTGACTGTCGAGCCTAAAGGCTGATTTAAATCGTGTTCTAAACAAAAGCAATGGCTCGCGATAGAATGAATATTTTCCATATTAAAAGGAGCGTTTTTGACTTCTTCACTTGAAATGTGTATTTTAGAAACAACTTTTATTTCTTGCAGCTGAACAGCAAGGGTCACCTCGAGGTAAACCTTGTGTCCTTTATTCCCTGTTAAATGCTAATAATGTGAGTTTGAATGGCATTTTACATGACATTTATTGCCATACTACTGAAAGCAGCAGCAGATACAGTGCTTTACCTCAGATCTTGAAAATAAAATAAACCATTTGTAATGTAACTTTAGAACCTGTGTGTGCAAGCCAACACATATCATGTAAATTTAATAATGTTAAAGTTAATTAAAGTTAATATGTGTTAATAAGATTATAAACCTTACCATTTCGTTGAGTGCAGTAGGCGCACTATTCTGTGCTTCTGAAGGGCTGTATTTAAATGTCTGTCATGTTGGGTCTGGTGCAAACAGCAAAATTGCTCATCACTGCAAATCTAGTCACATAGCTTATTGTAAGGACACAGGGTTACAATGTAACCTGCTCACCCAATGTTTATGTTTATAATATTTATATTATTTGCTAATTAATAACCTCATGTGGATCTCTGAATCTGCAACTCCATTCTGAGTCTCCTACTGTCCACCAGAGGTCGCATTTCGGTTGATGACTTGAAGAGCTTTCTTGACTGAATGAATCATACGCTGTTTTCCACCAAGGCAACCCGTCGTGCTGAAATATAATTGGTTTAACTGACTTTGGGCGGGTTAAAAGAACCAAAACAAAGACAGACGTTCCAGCATGTAATGTACATTTTCAAAGCAGACTAACTAACTTTACCATTGTTTGTCAGATAAACAAGAATGTTCACTTTGCTTGTTTTTTTAAATATCTGCAAACATATTATGATATTTTCATGCTGTAGAAGAGTCAACAACTTACTGTACCTACAGCACCTTTAAATCCCAAACACAGAAAACAATGACTATAAAGATAAAGATCTAAAGATGTGCGTTTTATATTCTAAATGTAAAACAACAACAGAGTTCAGACCACAAGTGTAATGATAAAAATGTAGAGAAACCATATTATTGGGATTTTTTCTCCGCTAATTAACAACAAAAGGTTGCCAGCCAGAATCCGTTCAAAAACAGTGTGCTTGTGCAATTTTAAGCTACGAACACTGTGGCGAAGCACAGCTTAAGTTTTCCACCCTCTTTACAAATATTATTTGAAGATAATTACTATAGAATACAATTGATCATACCATGGGAAAGTACGATAAAAATACATGGAAGTTATGCATGGCAGGCTGTCAAACTGAAGAATAAAAATAAAAGTACCTCAGGTATCCTGTGCTCATTTCAGCATCTTTGTGTTTCCTCCATCGGAAATGCTAGGGAAAATAGTTTGCTGTTTTTGGTCCACTACACTGGCTAATTTGATTGCTAACCTCATTTAATTGGATTGGGAAAAATTTCATTTGTCAGATGCGCTAGTTGCACACTCAGGACATCTGCTGGTTACGAGGGGGTAATGAAAAGTATGAACTGTTTTTTTCTAAGATTATAAGAATATATGTTTTAATTATCTTTTGTCAGTGTGGACATATATTTATTGTTATATTAACAGCTATCATGCTTGATGTGAATGGGGGTTAATAGTTTAATATATTGTTGCAGAAAATTTCAAGATAGTCACGACTTTGTTCTGAACTGTGTGAACAGTGTGAACATCTGCTAATTAAAATGCTTGATATCAACATAACGTAAGGTGACAGATGTAAATAACAATATATAAATATATTTCTGTGGTGATACTAGAGCACATGCTTCCACTTCAAAAAAAAAAAAAACATTGTAAATCTTGTAACAAACTAAAACATGCAGAATGAAACCTGTTTGTATAGATTGTACTGTTCGCTGGTTAGATTATTTGTTTACGTTTAGTAAAGTTCACGATCTATACTTTTTAATGCTGTTTACAAATGTTTTTTTTTTTGAGTGATAGATCTGGGAAACACTGAATCACTGAGTTTGTTGGTAATGGAAGTTGCAAGCATAGTTGGCTAATCATGTTTTGGATATTTTTATGTGGTTTGTTGAATTTTATTTATTTATTTTTTTACAATGGAAATTCTTTTGAGATTTGTCATTTATTAGTCAACTATGTATTTTTATATTGGCTACTTGATGTTCTAAATAGTAGCTTAAAACTGCAGAAGTTAGTCTTGTTAGTAAAGAATTTAGTAACAATTTACTTTAGGTCACAATTCAAACTACTGGCTTATTACCTGCCTATTGTTAAGATATTAACTTTTCAGTAGTAGTTAGAAAGTATGGTCTTATTCTGCATTCCTAATCCTACCCAGAATATAAACCTGAACCTTACCTTATAAACCTTGTACCTTACTAACTATTAATAAATAGCTAATTAGTAGTTTATAGTAAGTATATTAAGCTAAGAGTGTAAGATAATGGTTTATTAAAACAGTAAATTGTGACCTAAACTTCGGAAACTGATTTTCAGCAGCTTATGACACAATGCACTAAAATAAACACTCCAAGCACAGCGCTGTGATCGTACGCTTCACAAAACAGCCAATGCTGATCACATCAATGTTATATTACGCATTAAAGGATTAAAAGTGTTAATTGCTTCTTTCATTATTCAGCGATTCCTCCGCGTACCACTAGGAGGAAGCCCGCGTACCACTAGTGGTACGCGTACCACAGTTTGAGAACCACTGGCCTAGAGTACTAATGACAGTAATGAGCAATGAAACAAATTTAGCTTTGCATCACAGGAATAAACTGCATCTTGAAATGTGTTCAAACAAACAGTCATTATTAAATTGCAAAACTTTTACCGTATTTTTTATGTAATGCTTGTTGAGCATTAAAGGCAAACAAATCTCACAGACACTTCACACTTATACTTACGCGCCTCTCCTTTTACAAACACAAACACATACCAGACTCCAGGCTAATCTGAGCCCCCATGGTTCATTCCTTCAGCCTCAGGAGGAAGAGCACAGCTGTTTGAACGGGTGTTAAAAGACATGTAACATTTTTCACTTTGCAATTTGGGCCAATTGGCCAATCTGTAAGCCCCACCCCCTTAGTAACTGTTGCTAACTCTGACAAATAAACATTGCTAATTGTCTTGCAATGACAGCTGTCACCTTGTCCCAAAATGTTTTGATATATTTTTGACACAGAAGGACCAGCTCTCATCAAGGAGCATTAATGTATTAAATATTGCTTGGAGTAATATATAAAAGATTTGAAAATAAATATGGTGAATAACAAGCTTAAAGCAATACTTCACCCAAAAATCACCATCACGCCATTCTCTGTGTATATGATTTTTTCTTTTTCTTTTTTTGTCAGGTGATCACATTCGAAGTAGTTTTAAATATTATCCTTCTCTTATATGCTGTATAATGGTGTTGGATAGTGACTTTTATTTTGAAGCTTGCAAAACTGTGTGAATTAATCATTTAACTAACCCAGACACAGCCAACAGGTTAACAAAAACATTTGTAACAAAAACATTTTAGGACGGATGATGCATGACACACAATTGAGACATGCATGTGGCATTGTAAGAGTAATATACTGGGTAATATTATACAGTAACACTAAGCTAACTATTTTTCCTGTTTGTTGTCATCTTCTGTTGTAAACAAACTGTGTGGTGAGTGGTTCACGTATTTCCAGAGCTTCCGATACGAATGAATCAAGCATATGTTGTGCAAATCAGTAATCACACATCGCCAGAAGTGGTGTTTATAATTTTAAAGCATAGGTCTCAAACTCAATTCCTGGAGAGCCACAGCTCTGCGCAGTCTTGTTCCAACCCTAATCAAACACAACTGATCCAACTAATCAAGGTGTTCAAAACTACAAGAGACTATTAACAAGCTGTGAGTTGGAGGTGGTTAAAGTTAAACTATGCAGAGCTGCGGCCCTCCTGGAATTGAGACCACTGTCTTAAAGTATTTCTGTTACAAACACTCATCGATCCGCTTCGTGAGACATGTATTAACTTCATGAGTTAGTTTGATGTTAGATTTATGTACTTTTGTAAACTTCAAAATAAGAGTCACCATCCAAAAAAAAAACATTATTTAGCTTGGAAGACCTGGAATAAAATTGTAAAGTATCCTGTATTACTAGAATAGACTGTTTTTCTATACCACCTTAAGTGTTATTTAAAGACTTAACTAGGTTAGTTAGGTTAACTAGGCAGGTTAGGGTAATTAGGTGAGTCATTGTATTACCTTAGTTTGTTCTGTAGACAGTCGAAAAAAATATATGGCTTTAAGGGACTAATAATTTTGTCCCCAAAATGTTTTTTAAAAAATATTTAAACTGCTTTTATTCTAGCCAAAATAAAACAAATACAACTTTTTCCAGAAGAAAATATATCATCAGACATACTGTGAAAATTTCCTTGCCCTGTTAAATATCATTTGGGAAATATTTAAAAAATAAACAAAAAATCAAATGGGGGCTAATAATTCTGACTTCAACTGTACACTGAGGAATTTGAAAGCGAGAGATTCAAACTAGAGAAAACACATCACGCCATCACGATCACAGATGACATTACAGCATCAACACTGTTCATGAACGACACCGTGAATAGAAATCAATTGGCATTTAACTCCCTTTGCTAGTTTTGCTTTGCGTTAGCTATTGTTACCAGGAGAAAGCTAACAATAGGGCTTTTTTTTAACTAACCCGAGGCAGAGCTGGTTACTACATGACTTTAGGTGACATTAGCAGAGTTAATAGCATTGTTTCTTTGACACACCTAAAGCCTCTAAATATTTAGGTGACATTTAAAAAAAAATCCATTACCTATCCTTTCATGATACATGAAATCAATGTTACAAGTATTCGAGGCACATGGTAAAGCTATTTTTGTTTCAAAAACAAAATCAAACCAAAATCTTTTAATGATTATTGTCTGAGTTCCGGTTCCCATGCAACTGATATTCAACTGCCATTGGCTCATTTGCCTTTGAGGGGTGGGTAGGGCTTACTGATTTTCAGAAATCAAAAGAAAACTCTCCGGATACTCCAAGTGTATCTGTCTGCAGACTGCAAGAGAGGGGCGTAACATGAAGGGGCAAAACTTGTTGCAAGTTAGAGGCATAACTTGCAGTTATCGAGATCCCATTTAACCAAACGAGATGTCACAACGTGATGTTGTTGGCAAGATAGTGGAAATACTTAGCAGAGAACATTTTTAGCAAATGTTTTCATGAGATTTCTCCAAACTTATCTACAACCAATTCATTTGATATATTATTATATTTTAGAATTTAGCAACTCCACCATGAAACTCATAGGGTTGGGGTAGGTATAGACGTTAATAACTGTGATGGTTGGGTTTAGGGTTGGGGTTGGTACAGTATAGATGTTAATAACTGTGATCATTGGGTTTAGGGTTGTGGTAGGTAAAGACGTTAATAACTGTGTTGAGGGTAGTGGTAGGTATGGACATTAATAACTAATGGTTGGCTTTAGGGTTGTGGTAGGGTATGGACATTATTAGCTGATGATTGGGTTTAGGGTTGGGGTAGGTGTAGACGTTAATAACTATGATGGTTGGGTTTTGGGTTGTGGTTGGTATAGACATTAATAACTAATGATTGGGTTTAGGGTTGTGGTAAGTATAGATGTTAATAACTTTGATGATTGGGTTTAGGACTGTGGTAGGTATAGACGTTAATAACTGTGATGGTTGGGTTTAGGTGTGGAGTAGGTGTAGATGTTAATAACTGATGGGTACAGCGCCATCTTGCCGACAATATAGTCTTGAGACATGTATGTCTCCATATCTTTAAGGTACACCTCCACTACAAGTTACACCCCTTCTATTACGCCCCTGTCTTGCAGTCTGTACATACATACATGCATATTTATTAGATTTTTATATTAGTTTTTGAAATATTGTTGAATATGCAAATGTTTAGATGATTTATGTGTGATACAATTGGATGTGTTATATGAGAAACCTACTGTTGCATTGTTTACCAATCAAAGTGTTTCAAATTTGATTTGGATTGTAAACTTTAGTTTATATTTATTTTGGGTGTTTATTTCTCAGCCCCTCTACTCTCAAAATTGTTCCATAACAATCTGCAGATTTTTTTTACAAATCAGAAATTCCACAGTTGCCCTACCGTTTTGTGCATGTTTTTAATGGGTACAGAGAGTATGTAATAACTGTGTGTGTGTGTGTGTTTACAGGGCCTCTCCTATCATCGGGTACCTGCCGTTTGAGGTTTTGGGGACCTCGGGTTATGATTACTACCATGTGGACGACCTGGAGCTGATTGCTCAATGTCATAAACAATGTGAGTGTTATCTCTGCTGCTCTCGCTCTCTCTTCGTTCTCAAACTAGGTCAATGTACTGTCTTGGAAATTTTCTCCTGTTTGTGCGAATCACAGAGGAGCTGAAAATGGCCCCGCCAGGAAAGATGAAAGACCTTGTAAGAAGCTCTCAAGCCTTTTGTAGAGAGTGCTGATCTTGTGTGTTTGTGTGCATGCGTTTGTGTGTATTGCAGTGATGCAGTGTGGGAAAGGAAAGTCTTGTTACTATCGGTTCCTGACTAAAGGACAGCAGTGGATCTGGCTGCAGACGCACTATTACATCACGTACCACCAGTGGAACTCCAAACCTGAGTTCATCGTCTGCACACACAGCGTGGTCAGGTAAAACAAACACTAGCGGCATTTATATGTGTGTATGGAAAGTGTGGGCATGGCAAGCACACTGGAAAGTACTTGAACTTATTTATAAGCATATAAACAAAAACGCTTTGCTTCGCACAGTAATTTGAATTAGAGTTAATTTCATCTTTGCTTTAATATATATATATATATATATATATATATATATATATAAATATATATATATATATATATATATATATATATATATATATATATATATATATATATATATATATATATGAAGAGATCAGATGCAAAGCCCTCTAAATCCATCAGACCTCTTTTCTTGTGAATAAGCATTTTCTATCAGGCTCATATAATAAGGTTCAGATGTTTCATTTCATAGATAATGAAAAGGTTATTAGCTTGTAAATAAAATAACTTTTTTTATAATTTTCATAAATGTCACTGTAGACAATTCTTTGGTTTTTAACAAAGTACATTTTCTTTTGCGTCAAAACCAGCTAAATCCACATCTGCTTTTTTTGCAAAAACCTCTAAATCCACCTATCGGGACAAGACTGTGTAATCAGTTGAAAATCACTAAAGATGCCATTAGAAATTATTTTACCAAACATAAAACACATTACACAAACCACCTAAATTTAAAAAAATGTATAAATCTATCAAGTAAGTGGCGATTCATTCCGCTGTGGAAAACCAATGAAAAAGCAGAAGGAAAATTAAAGAATGAAATCCGTCAAGTAAATGCAATAATCAGTAACATTAAACCTGACATTAAATAAATCTTAACAATGGTGTTTAGAGGCTTTTTCCACCACATCCAAAAGGTGCTCTTGGATTGAGATCTGGTGACTGTGGAGGCCATTTGAGTACAGGGAACTCATCGTCACGTTCAAGAAACCAGTCTAAGATTTTTAGCGCTGTATGACATGGCGCATTATCCTGCTGGAAGTAGCCATTGGAAGATGTGTACACTGTGGTAATAAAGGGATGGACATGGTCAGCAACAATACTCGGGTAGACTGTGGCGTTGACACAACTGGTACTTGGTCCTAATGGGCCCAAAGTGTGCCAAGAAATTATCTCCCACACCATTACACCACCACCACCAGTCTGATTCGTTAATACAAGGCAGGTTGGATCCATATTTTCATGTTGTTGACAACAAATTCTGACCCTTCAAAAGTTGCAGCAGACATCGAGACTCATCAGACCAGGCAATGTTTTTCCAATCTTCTATTGTCCAATTTTGGTGAGCCTGTGCGAATTACAGCCTCTGTTTTCTGTTCTTAGCTGACAGGAGTGGCACACAGTGTGGTCTTCTGCTGCTGTAGCCCATCCGCTTCAAGGTTGGACGTGTCGTGCATTCAGAGATGTTCTTTTGCATACCTCAGTTGTAACGAGTGGTTATTTGAGTTACTGTTGCCTTTCTATCAGCTGGAACCAGTCTGGCCATTGAGTTGCTGTCATGTAATTGGCTAATTAAAAATTTGCATTAACGAGCATGCGATATACACAGACACACACACACACACACACACACACACACACACACACACTGAGAAAAGTTTCCATGGCAACTAGCAAAAAAACATTTGTCATTTTGAATTAGTTTTATTTTAGATTTATGTTTGTTTTTTCTATCTTCAACATTTTATTTTAATGTTAAGCATTTTTGTTTTTAGATCTAAATATGTTTATACTTTTTATTTTAGTTTATTTAGTTAAAATGGAAAATGTGTTCATGGTAACTAGCTGAAATGAAACATTTTGAATTAGTTTTTATTTTATTAAAAATTTACTTTATATTTTTTCAATTTATTTATGTATTTTTTGTAAAATTTATTACTTTTAGTTTTAAGATGTCTATTTTCTATTAATTTTATATAAAATATATAATGGTAAATAGAAAATACTTATAAAATGAATGAAAAATATTTTCATTTAACAAAGTGAAAATGGAAAATATTTTTAAGTACATTTTTGACTTTTATTTGTCCCCTTAGTAATAAAAGGTATTTCAGTTTTATCATTTAAGTAACTTTAGCAACCTTAGCTAAAGGCAGTGAAACATATTTAAATATTTTTTTCTAATTAACATATTTGTAGCTTGCATCTGCTCTCAAACGCTTGTTTATAACTTAAAAAATAAAATACAGGTAGTCATTAATGCTTGTCAGCTAATTTAGTCTTTTTAACAAAGTGTGATGTATTTTTAGCCTCTGTTTCCATCTAAAGGTCAGTGTGTGTTACTACAGATTTAGCCTTGAAAATTGAGCATATTCTCTTAGGTACAGCACATAAGAAGATCAGTCTGTCCACTTTTTTTCTCAGTACATATAAAACATTCAACAACAAAATGTTTTTTTTCTCTCTCCAAAGTTATGCTGAAGTTCGAGCGGAGAGAAGGAGAGAGTTTGGATTGGAGGAGAGCTCATCTGATATGGCCACATCCTCAATCAAAGTATGAAACAAAACCTAAGAAAAACACTTGTAAGCATTTCTGTTTGTTTGTATGAATAGTTGACGCTAATGTATCATGTTTGTTTGTAGGGCCAGGAGGTGTTTTTGGACATGTGTCCTCCTCTGGAAGCTACACGGGACAGAATCAACAGCGCTCGATCAGTGTCATCACAGAGCTCCAGAAAATCATCACACACAGCGCTCTCCGACTCCGCATGTAAGAACAAACAGAGAGCACCTTAGTAAAGAGAAAAATACAATAGATAGTCATGTGATAGCATGTGTGTGTGTTTGTGCGTGCAGCGAACTCCTCAGTGAGATACACAGAAGCATGTACGTCATCCCGGCAGTCTGCTTCCATCGGCCCTGAGAAGAGCTCCAACAGAATGACACACACTGGAACAAAGGTGCAAACAAGCATGTCAGATTTCACGTGTGTTGAAGAAATAAGGATTTCAAAACTTTTTATTTATTTTTTTTATCTTGGTTTATCAAAGAGGTGTATTTGTGTACATTATCTGGGCGAGTTGGAGTGAAGTGAGTTGCTAATATTCTTTAATAAATGTGTAGTCTTTTATAATGACAAGTGGCCAAGAATTTGCATATAATAAACTTATTAGTAACCCAGATAACAAAAGCAAAAAAGAGCAGAGAACATTATTTAAACCCTAACCAAATAGGAAACATATGGGGACATTATAGAAACATTCTGGCCTCTATTCTAAAGGTTTAGGTGTATCTAAAGTGCATAATGCAAAAGCATTGTCTGAATCCACTTTTGCTATTTTAAGGATGGAAAAATAAGATCTGAGCCATGGCGCATGGTCTAACAGGGTTGTGCTTATTCTCTTAATGAGTTATTGGTGTGTTTTGAGCACAACGTGCATTAAACCAATCAGAGTCTCATCTCCCATTCCTATTAAGAGTCAGTTGCGTCCATAGACTGTAAAATATATGGACGTAGTATCCGTGACGTCACCCATAGGTTTCTGAAGAGCGCAAAAGAAGCCACAAGTAGGCGCGGCCAACCGTCGCCATTTTGGTCACGCGTCATCACACCCACGGCGGGATACCAAACAAGGGCAAAGAGGCGGAGAGTGAGCGGAGCTACAGACACCTGCTAGCATTTAGCTTGGACCTGGTTCAGACACACTTTACTTTGGGAGAAATGCTTAATACTTTATCACTTATGACTCGTTTGTATTCTGACCACTTGTGCTTGATTGTATACTATATCAATAAAGAGTTTAGACTTTTAAAAACACTGCTGTAATACATTGAGCCACTAAACATTGTTCTTATGACGTTTTTAAACGGGAGGAAAACGCGAATTACTTCCAAACACTTCAGATATAGTCTGTGTTAGTTAATGTAAGACTATTGATAAAATCCAGCATAACACTGTATGACAACGCTTCAGATGACTGTTCTAGGGCCTACAGCTAATCAATCTGACAGATTCTGGAGTGCATTACAGCTCTAAATATAAACGATAAATGATCTTAAATAAAACAAATACATGTATAGAGATGGTATATAAGTATATAACTTTACTCACATGGGAAACGGAGGCCACGTGAATGGTTTGTGAGCACAATTAAGTGCCCTCAGCATGCCATGCCATCTAATAATTGTGGGAAACAAGTCCAAAAGACAGTTGACTGTGTAAAGCCACATAAAACAACACAGAAATACGATAAATATGCAGAGTTCCGTGGCTAATCTGCAGAGGTGACGTGACGGCGACCAGCGAGACCTAACTGTCACTCAAGTGGCCACTCCCTTAATTATGCAAACTTGATATAACTTAATATAAAGGAAACGGATGAGTAATAAAAAAATTCACCCCCCTCACAGTTGTCATGAAGGGTAATATTAGCTGTATTAACCAAAATCATTTTTGTACCAGGCTGTAAACACCTTTTTTTCTGCTGTAAAGTTGGCCATTCTAACAGTGGGCTCAATTGAAATTTGCTCTGTTTTGGAGCCAGGAGCGGCCAGGACTAGCGGAATTTCGGATGAATTGCAGTTTTAGTTACTTTCGTATTGGCTTCCTGAGGGAGAGCGGGAGGTTGCCGCTTGGTTGCGTCGCACCATGGTTCATTTGCTATTTACATGGTGGACTTTGTAATTGGAAAAACTGAACGCTTCACCTAGCACGAAAACGATTAAACAGACCATCTGCAGTGCAAGGATAAAGAATGAACCTCCTTAATTTACTTTCTCTTTACTGTACTTTTACTCTTTACTCGACACCTTTACTTTCGTGGATAAGGAAACGGTGGAAACTCACTCCACTGAAGGCATCCATTAGCCTACATATTTAATTTTGTTTGTTAAGCGCAAAGATTTGTTTCAAAACAATTTCTAGATTCAGTTCTAATTTCCAGCAAATTAATAAATGAACAATGATAACGAATTGTGGTCAAAAAACTGAGTTATATCCAAACACATGTTATATTCTAATGCCCCATATAGTGATGAATTCATCTCCAAAATCCAACAGATGGACAAATCTAAACTTCATTCATTCATTTTCATTTTAGCTTAGTCCCTTTATTCATCTGGGGTTGCCACAGAGGAGTGAGCCACCAACTTATCCAGCATATGTTTTACGCAGCGGATGCCCTTCCAGCTGCAACCCGTCTCTGGGAAACATCCATACACACTCATACACTACAGACAATTTAGCCTACCCAATTCACCTGTACCGCATGTCTTTGGGTTGTGGGGGAAACCAGAGCTCCTGGAGGAAACCCACACGAACGCGAATCCTATTTCAACGTCAGGAAATTTATTTTAAAAAGAGACTAGTGTGATAAATAATAGCTTAATTTTCATATTTGATTGATTTTTAGATTTTTGAATGGTTAAATAACAAAAAACAATTACTCACCCTCGTGTCTTTCCAGTCTCCTGAGACCTTCATTTTACTTCAGAGCACTAATTAATTTGAGATGTTTTAGATGAAATCCTAGAGCTCTCTCATACTCCATAGACAGCAATGTTCCCAAGGTGATCAAAGTCCAGAAAATGAGCTGAGAACTTTTTCAAAACATTCGACGTAATTTCAGTGGTTTAACTGTAGAACAAATATGTATTTACCATTTTGTATGTTTTGACAAAGTTTTGGTTTTTTTTTCTGGTTTTTTTTCTATGAAGATGAATGAAAGTCTTAGCAGTTTTGAACAACATGAGTGTGAGTAATTAATAACAGAATAAAATTTTGGGATGAACTTTTAAGCTCTTGTAATTTCATATCAGTTAAATGTAATATTAAGCTAATCGCTAAACTAGTTTTCCTTTTTTTATTATTTTCTTGCATATTTTTGCATTGTCATATTGTTTATTCTTTTTAAAATATGGAAGTCTCTTACAGTTTGGTCTCTCTCTGTGTATTTAGACCCTGATTCAGAGACAGAGCTCTTCAGAGCCCCCGTCACTCTCTCCGTCCTGCAGTCAGCATTCAGCCATGGTCAGTTCAATCCTAACTTCTCCTATTCTCCCTCTCTTCCTTCCCACCTGTCCCTCTTTCTCTTTATCCTTAAGTAGAGCTGAAGTCTAACGTTTGTTGTAATCTTACAGCTTATGGTGAGTAGACTAGATTTTTTCCTTTTGTTTGAAGTGTCAATTCGGGCTGAACCACAAAACCTGCTGGTGCCCCTGCTGTAATAATAGAGCTGGGCGATATGGCAAAAATGCAATCTCAAGTATTCATTTCTATATTGAACGGTAACAATATATATATTTTTATATACGTTTTTAATGCTTCCACTTTTAAAAGAGCATCCCAACCATGACTGCTGGCGGAAAGTGAACTGTTGGCAGGAAAATGAAACGAGAGCCCGAAACAATACTGGGTGACGCAGCATGACCTATTTTCAGCCGATAATTTTCAGCTATGAAAAATCTGATAAATCTCTAATATCAAGTCAATTATAGATTACTGTTGTTGCATATTTCGGCTGCTTTATTGGTCCTTAGGATCAATATTGAGTAAAAATGTTATATCATCGTTATCAACATAAATTTGATCACCATTCAATATGATATCATTCATCGGCCTTGTCCTGAAGAAGAAACTTTGCACATACATGTCAACTTACACTAACCTTAAATTAACAGTCTACTTATAATCTAATGAGAATTAGTTGGCATGTAGATGCAATGTAACTTCAATTCAAAAAACGGACCATCAAAATAAAGTGTGATCAAAATATTTAAAGGGATAGTTTACCCCAAAAAATCTGATATAATATAGATGTCAGTGGCTGCTTTTTTCTCCAGCATTCTTCAGAATATATATTGTTTTGTAGTGGTGTAAAGGATCACAAATCTCACCATTTTGATCACACTGACTTTTGAGTCACGAATCAGACCATTTTTCGGATCAGCACACAATGTCATTTGCTTTCCATTTATACAACAATATTACTGCAATACCATTGGTTTTAACAAACAGAACTTAGAACCTGTAGATTTAATAAAAATTAAAATGAAGGAACAACCAGCTGAAAAAAAGGAAAATATTCATTATGAAAAATAATCTTTGCTACTGTTGCTGATGATGCTAAATATAGAAATCTAACATCTTGTACAACAGATCATATTTATTATTATTAATGATTTAACAATTCACTCATAAAACTTCATGTTTTATTATAGGTGGATCAATTTTTCAGTGACATAATTTTGATGGTTGTCTGTCGCCACCTATTGGTTAAACAATGTAATTGCTACAGCATTCACAAGCATCAAATTCCATTAAATGGTGATAAATGTCTGAACAAATGATAAATCTGAACTATAAACTGTTCTCCCACTTCTTTTTTTATTTAATTGTTTGTAACTAAATGGAAAAGTGTAAAAACTGAATCTCTTTAACACAGATTTGAATGCAGCGCTTCGAAGGATTAATAAACATATGCAGGATTAATAAACATATGCAAATCATTATCATTTATCATTCATGTTGCGTGGGTTTGAATTTTGATCAAGATCTTTTCATCTTTAATTGTGCAGCTTTACACTGAATTCTTTAATTTCTCAATTTATTAAATGTTTATTTGAGTGATTTTTGGGTTGATGAAATTAATTCATCACTTCATGTTTATTTCTGAGCTAGATATTAATTAACAGTCACACACATCTTTACCGAAGCCTCTTTACTTGACAGTTGGTCTTGCATGTCTGCCATATTTGTAGTTTATTTACACTTTTCACCCATGTTTGTATTCTGATCGAATTTATGTCCAATGTACTGTGGGCGATATCAGCGGTTAGAGTATGGATGCTTCTACACTTAAAATTTTGACCAGAAGTAGAAGACCATCCGGGATTCTTCGGCATACTCTTTTTAACATTCTATAATGTGGACATACTAATTATATTTTTAAATACTATTTAGGACAGATAATATGCTAATTGGGATGCAGCAATTGTTAGAAAATATTATCAAACCCTTACAAAATAAAACAAATATTAATATTGTACTCAACCACATACCTCATGAATCCAGCACATCTGTTTTTGTCAGAAACCTGCCATTTTTTTAAGTGTCTTCATTTTTTCCATGGCTGTATATTTGTAATATTGGCTTCAAAATCTGAAGATAATTGATTTGGACTCTATTGCATTACACATTGAATAGCTATTTTAATGTAGTCACTTATGAATTCTGTGGAAACAATAAGCAGTTTTGAGAGAAATTCAGTTTCCAGAAGGTGAAAAAGAGGCATGTGTGTCTGCTCTGGACGCTTTTTTCCTGAGTGTGTGTTCTCTGTGTTGTGTGTGTGTGTGTGTGTGTGTGTGTGTGCTACAGACTCAGTCCCTGTACAGCTTCCAGCAGCCTCAGTTAGGTGTCATGCATCAGCTAAAGGAGCAGCTGGAGGAGCGAACGCGGATCCTACAGGCCGACATCAAAACACAACAGCAAGAGCTGCACGACATTAAAGAGAAGCTGCAGCTCGCCAACCTACAGGTACAACACACAAGAGTGCAAGAGTGTATGGATGTTTCCCAGTGATGGCTTGCAGCTTGAAGGGCACCCACTGTGTAAAACATATGCTGGATAAGTTGGCGGTTCATTCCGCGATGGCGACCCGAGATTAATAAAGGGACTAAGCCAAAAAGAAAATGAATGAATGGAACTTATTCTGACTTTATATATCACCATTAGTAACACGGTGTGTTTGAATGGCTGTGTTTGCAGATGTTACTCCAGCAGCCGATACAGGGAGAGTTTGCTGGTTCTGGTCCACAGCAGCAGGGTCCAGGCAGGCCGGCTCAACAAAACACACACCCTAAACCTCAACACTGTGTTTCACATTCATCACACACACTACAACCCAACAGCTCATCCACTCAGGTATTCATCATACATCTCACTCAGGCACACAAGCGACTCCCTCCAGACACATACAGTAATGGTTGTCTTGTGTGTTTAGGGGCAGCAGAGGCTGGTTCAGGCTGGACACATGCAGGCCGTCAGTGTTCCAATGCAGACACACACCAGTCTGACCACACCCTTCTACAGCAACCCCATGATGTTCTCCCCCAACCACGGACACCGAAGCCAACATGACACACACTGCCAAAGAAACACACACGCCGACTACAGCCAGGACGGACAGCTACGGTAACAGCCTAAATACAAAACATATGTCTATTGATGTGTCTGACGTGACAATGCTTGCAAGATTCTTCTTATTTTGTTCCTCTCATTCTTTCCAGTCAGTAAAGGTTTGTGTTTTTGTATGTTGCTCAATGAGCTACAACTATGGAAAATGCGGAAGTAGAAACATTAAGAACATTTCTCCATCAGTTTCACAACACGTGTGCTGAAAATACTCAAAACACAATCAAATACAGAAAATCACTAGATATTTACAGCACAACCAAATACAGAAAATAAATTATCATACTGCAAAAAACAAATTGCAAGCAACTCAAATATTTACCGTTTGCATTACAAGTACAGACAAGCATTAAAAGAGCACACCACAACAATTTCATTTCATTCATTCGCCATATCGCTGCATGGTAGTTTTATATGCATGTTCCCTATTAACTTACTATTCAAAGGGTAAAGCCCTGGTCAGATCACATGAGTTTGTCACAATTTCCACACAATTTCCTTGATGTAGGGGGTCATGGAAATTCGTGAACAACAAAAGGGCATCTTGACACAAGATTAAATCATTTCTTCTTGTGTAATGTGGCATAGTTCACGTCAACTGATATCATGTCTGCAACGCTTTATGACACCATCGCAGAAAGTCTAGCATGTCTACTTTTTTTCCCCATTCTTCATGACTAGTTCCGACACTGTGCAATAGGAGCACACAATTTCTCGGTTATATCAGCGGGTGCTGCCATTAATGCGCTGGTCAGGTAATCAAAACAAAAAAAGGCTGCATTGTTTACTTATGCAAACTTAAACTACTTTTTTTTTTAAATGCTAATAATTTCACCTGACAGACTGGCACAAATATACAGACATCTTCATTCTCACAATGAGTTAGTGAGTTCTCTCAGTCTTTCAACAGAGTTTGTTCTTCCGAGGTAATCTGTGAACATGTTTGGTGCTCCGAATACATTGTAAAAGCATTTCATTAAAACAAAGCAGTCATTAACAGTGAAAAAGTTTAATATAGGCTTCTCTGAAACTGTGAATTTTTCACTTTAATTTTATTTAGGCTACATTATTATTTTATTTTACAAACCAACACAATCTCATGGCAATTCATGTTTTGGCAAATAGCGTACTGGTTTTTAAGTACTTTACCTCAAATGTTATTCGTTACTCTTGATTATCTAGTAGATAAAGGACCAAATAATACATTAGAATTAAGAAACAAATTATACCAAATGAAATTTGTTTCAAAATGATATTCTTTCCTAGAAAAATAAACAAATTATATTGTTTGTGCCTGTCCTCTACTCATCTGTGCGGCTGGATGATTTGTTTCGCTCTGTGGAAAATGAGGATTTAATTAATGCTTCACTGTAATTGTTGTATCACAAACCTCATTTTTTAATATGTCATTGTTTTAGGGATTATTCTTTGAGCCTCTGATTTTTTCCTTGGTGCTGTTGTGCTTTCATTTTCTCCGTCTCACTAGCGTGAAGTTCATTGTTTAATAAGCAGGAAAATGTACTGTACATTAAGATTTCAAAGAAAGTAACTTGATATTAAAAAAGTTATCATAAGTTTAATCCTATCCATGCTCTTAAATAATGTAGCCTAGTTGTCAGCAAACATTGTTGTTTATTGAGATTGAAATAATTAAGATAAGAAATATTGTTATAGCAACACTTGTGACTGCTTTGGGAAATAACGCTTGTCTGAGATGTCATGGGATGACTGATCGTGAAGGAATGTGTAGTCTGGCACATTTGTTACCCACTACAAGACGAGATTTTATCAAGACAAAATTACATAATCTGACATAGTGACTTTTGTAACCGACAATAAAAATTGTGTGATCTGACCGGGGCTTAACTCACAGGATTAAACGTGTGTATATTATTAAACGTGTGTATATTATCTCCTTATCTATGTCATACAGACAGGATAGCTGATTTTCTTTGGTGTTGTTTTATAAAAAACAATGCACACAAAATCTGAAGGCCTCTTTAAAATAATGTAGATACAGTGTGGCAATTATGGTAATTTTCCACTGCAAGGTACACCTTACCATTGGGGACTTTTTCGCTGCATTCCATACCTACTATAGTACCTGGTACTTTTTTAGAACCACTCTGGGTGAGGTTCCAAGCAAGCCATACCATTACCAAAATGTAAGGGACACACGATGCTGGTCGCAGAATCATAACTACAAGCATCATTTCCTTTATGATTTTTGTTTTTGCAAACATCTTTTACGGCTTAATCAACAGCTTATTGCTAAGAGAGAGGAGGATGAGAGGGTGTTTAAGGCTACAGCTCTTTAATGTACTGTACTAATTAGCTGTTAGCTGTGAACAGACAGTGTCATTCAAAGCGTTGAAGAAAACAGAATCCATAAAAGCAAAGGAACAAAAAAAATGTGTTTACATTAATACGTTTTAGTTTTAAAATAGTGTTTTAAATGAAAATGATACACGTCCACACTGGCTTTTCATCTAGCATTTCTAAAAAGTTCTCCATCCACACTATTAGCGGTGAAAACGCATGATCATACACACACTCTGTCATGCACTGCTGAGCTCCAGGCAGTCAATAGGTGCTTTGAGCACACCTCCCCAAGTGAGAGCAGTGCATGTCAGATAGTTCATCAAGAATCTACTGCTGGATCTCATCTCAATATAGTTGTTAAATTTAACATTTAATTAATCTTGTCTCTATCTAACGACTCTTTGGTCTTTTGAATCTATTTCTTGTTCCCAGGTAACAAAACATAAGTAAATATATTACATTTATGAAATCAAGTACACTGATTCTGCACAGTTGACTAATAATACTATATATAATAGAATTATTGATTGCTATTATTAAAACTGATATTTAGCAAAAGAGACTTTCTTATTTTTCAATGAAAATTAAAGGAGGCTGTTTAGTTATAGGCTTCGTTTTGTCATTAACATGCACACAGTGAAGATGACGGTCATATAAATATGTAGCTACAGGACGCCTAAACATTTCTGGTGTCTGATATGTTGTTAATATCAAAATGAGAATAGACAGTTCCTTCTATCATGTTTTCATTTTATTGTTAAGAAGTAGCCAGGGTGATGCGAATGACATTGTAAAGTACAGTTACCTTTGAAGATTTACCCGATGTGTCCTCGGGAGTTTGTTTTCTATATCAAACTTGTGAAGTCTGAACAAGGAAAGGATTCAAGACTGAACTTTGTGTACTTAATATTGAAAAAAGGCCCCAATCATGTCTGTAGCCATGCCATTATTTTCAGATGTCTCCGATTTCCCCATCCACACTAACAAGGAGCAGTAGCATTTTTTTAAATAAAAACGGCTTCTCCAGCATTTCAAAATGCTCAGTTTTCAGGGCTTAAAAACTCAGGGGAAGTGTGCACTGGAAGCATAACCATAGCAAATTTATACATTTTAAAACTAAAACGTATTAATGTAAATGGCATCTAAATCAAACTACAAAAAAAAGCCTGAAGTCACATATTAGCAGACATGGTGACTGTAGCCCCTTTCACACATACACACCTTTCCGGAAAATTGCCGGAAATTTTCCGGAAAGGTTGTATGTGCGAACAGGTCCTTTTTGAAAATACCGGTAAATTCGTTCTGGCTATTTTCCGGAAAGAGAAGTTGTAACATTACCGGCAATTTGCCGGAATGCTGCGCTGTGTGAATGCAGAAGGAAGATTCCCGTAATAAGCGCGTGCACGTCTAGAACGTGCTGACGTGAGACGTCTGCTTTAGCCAATCACAACAGTCAGATGCATTTACGTCCGCGCGGTTTGTGAGGATAAAAGCCTTTGAATATTTTTCCAGACACATTTAGCTGCTAGAAGTTAGTCAGATCACGTTTATATGTTCTTCTTAATGCCAACTGTGTAAATAATCATCGATGAGATGCTTATGATAAGCCGTTGTTTGTTTACCTTCAAGCTTTGCGTGCGCCTATGAGGGCCTGCACACGCACAAATTATGAACATCTCGACATGCGAAAGTGATCCTGCGAAAGTTGTTCACAATATTGATCATCCACAGAGTTTGTAATTTAGTCAAATGTTTACAAATACAAGCGCAGCGGTTTAAAGCTCATTTGTGGTGAATGATGTCAGAATTTACCGGTATTTTGGAATGGATGTGTGAATGCTCTTTTCCGGAAAATTTCCGTAACGTCCTCGCCTGTGTGAACAGCGCTTTTTTGAATATACCGGTAAAGTCGTTCCGGAAATTTTCCGGATATTTACCGGTATCACTGTGTGAAAGGGGCTTGTGTCTGGACAAAACCAGATTAAATTGTATTGCGAATGTAGTGATTTAAAACAGATACTGATTGTTCTGCACAGCACTGTATTATATGTGATGTTTTCTGCTTGATAGGATGCTGCTAAACCAGCCAATGCAAACACTTGTACAAGACAGCAATGGGGGGCCCCAGTCTTCCCAATGCACCTCAACTATTCAACAAACCAAGTGAGTGTGTGACAGCATGATGGCCTCTTTTTCAAATAAGGCGAAAGTCATTTGCAAAGTTGCAAGATCTCGCTTTACAAAAGTAGTCTGGTTTTCTGCATACGCTTATGTTGTTGTTTTTGGTGTTGTTTCAGATATCCTCTGGAGCAGCAGATGATGGCTCCTTCCTTCCCTGTGCAGCAGGTGAACTGTAACGCTGTGCTAGTCCCCTCCCCCGTCTTCACCTCACCAATCATGATCCCCCATAATAGTTTCATCACCCATCAGACCACCCCCACCTACACGACTCACCCGCCGGTTGCCCCACACAGCTTACCACTACAGCAGCCTCAGCAGTTCTTTCAGGTAAAGAAACACTAAATTCATTCATTATGGTTTGTCAGTTTGTAGGCATAAACTGAATAATGCCATATTACAGGGGTGCCAAACTCATTTTCACTGAGGGCAGCAACAAAAGGGCCTTTTATTAATGTAAGACTGTATAAATATCACTAATCTTTTGAGTGGTTTTAAATAATTGCCTTTTTAATTCATTTTAACAAATTAAAGTATTTTAAGTTATTTTAAGTTATTATAATTTAAGTTATTAGTTCATTTATTAGGTTAGAAAACTTGCATTACTCCATCAAAGTAACAAAACAATGACATACACTTACCGGACACTTTATTAGGTACACCTGTCCAACTGCGCATTAATGCAAATTTCTAATTAGCCAATCACATGACAGCAACTCCATGCATTTAGGCATGTAGACATGGTTAAGACGATCTGCTGCAGTTCAAACCGAGCATCAGAATGGAGAAGAAAGAAAGTGATTTAAGTAACTTTGAACGTGGCATGGTTGTTGGTGCCAGACTGGCTGGTCTGAGTATTTCAGAAACTGCTGATCTACTGATAATTTCAAGCACAACTATCTCTAGGTTTTATAGAGAATTGTCGGAAAAAGAGAAAATATCCAGTGAGCAGAAGTTCTAAGGGTGTGTTAATGTTGATGCCAGAGGTCAGAGGAGAATGGCCAGACTGGTTCCAGCTGATAGAAAGGCAACAGTAACTCTTAATAACCACTCGTTACAACCGAGATATGCAGAAGAGCATCTCTGAACACCCAACACATCCAAGCTTGAGGCGGATGGGCTAGAGCAGAAGAAGACCACACTGTTTGCCACTCCTGTCAGTTAGGAACAGGAAACTGAGGCTAAAATTTACACAGGCTCACCAAAATTGGACAATAGAAGATTGGAAAAACGTTGCTTGGTCTGATGAGTCTCTATTTCTGCTGTAACATTCGGATGGTAGGGTCAGAATTTGGCGTCAACTACAGTAAAGCATTGATCCATTCTGCCTTGTATTAATGGTTCAGGCTGGTGGTGGTGGTGGTATAATGGTGTGGGGGACATTTTCTTGGCACACTTGGGCCCATTAGTACCAATTGATTATTGTATCAACACCACCTGAGTATTTTTGCTGACCATGTCCATCCCTTTATGACCACAGTGATGGCTACTTCCAGCAGGATAACGCGACATGTCATAAAACGTGAATCATTACAGACTGGTTCCTTGAACATAAGTTCACTGTACTCAAATGGCCTCTACGGTCACCAGAACTCATTCAATAGAGCACCTTTGATGTGATGGAATGGGAGATTCACATCATGGAATATTTCCAGTACCTTGTTATATCTATGTCACTAAGGATTAAAGCAGTTCTGCATGCAAAAAGGGGTCCAACCCTGTACTAGTAAGGTGTGCCTAATAAAGTGGCCAATGAGTCATTAGCTTTCTTCAAATTCTTGTCACGTTTGAGAGAAGCAGAACTATGGAGCAACAATTGATTTTGAGCTTAGTTTCAAAACAAAAAATCATTGTGGTAGATTAATTTATAGTCAATATATGACATAAAGCAGCATGGATGTTTATTTTATGCTGGGTTCACAACAAAGGTGAAGCACGATGTCACTCATTCTAGATTACTTGCAGGATGCTTTTTACCCCATGTGAATTTTCTGCTCAAGTTGAATATCTTGAACACGGGATTGAAGTGACGTCACGCATTCTGCGTCAAACGCACCACCCAGTACAACTCCTGCAAATGCTAATATTTGTATTTGGTGTAAATCATATGCTCCTGGGGGCACATAAAATAATATGGGTGGTAAGCATGGGATGATAACTGATTTCAAGTTCACCGCAATTTGGTTTAAGTCATAGTTTTAAAACCACAAGGTATATGTACGATTTTATTTGATTGTTTACATATTGTGAAAGATAAGAATTGTATGTATTTATGGCAACAGTATCTCCTGCAGCATCGGAGCATCCACATCAAATGCTACTGGTCAGTCCACAATTCAGCAAACATTTGAAAAAAAAATCACTTATCACCTACATGTATGACAAGCATGCTATGGACCTGAACAGTGCAGTATTGTGTTTTATCCAAGGTTATTATACCATCAGAATCTTATACCGGCCCATGCTTAGCCTAATGGAGGCCGGATTTGACCCCTTTGGCCTTGAGTTTGACACACCCCCTGCTATATTGTGTGATTGATATTAACTTTCTCGGTTTGTCTCCTTTAGATGCAGCCTCAGGGTCTGATTCACGGCACTCCCACTCAGGCCTTATTCCACACCCCTAGTGTTCCACAGCAAAGCACTGTGGGATACGTACAGCCACAACAGCAGCAGCAGCAACAGCAGCATCATCATCACTCCCAGTCTGGCAACCTGTCGGACTACAGAAACATGCTCCCTCGGTAGCCCCGCACCACGGGACAAGCCAAGAGGCTGCTGGGAAAGCGCGTTGAGCGATTAGCTCTGAAAGGTATGATGGGAAGGGACTCTCTCGGCTCAGGGGAAGGCTCATTCCCGAGCCAAACCAAATCGAGAAAGCCAAAGTCCCTCAAATTCCCATGACAGCATATGATGGTGATAACGCCACGAGGCTCAAGGGCTCGGCCTGGCCCAGACTGCACGCAGAGGATGCTGGGATATGTAGGAAGAGCCCACGGGGCGTGACCCAGGGGCGAGACGGGGGTCACAGCAGTCGAGCACATGCTCCGATCGATTGATAAAGGACAGAAAGCCATGGAGGCTTGTAATGTTACAGCTGGTTGACGTTATCTAGACTTTTCAATAGACAAATCTATGAATCAAGTAATGCCTTGACAGAGCGTAAACTCGCTGCACGTGCTGTCACATGTTCTGTTCTCACACTCGTTCTACAAAAGAAAACGCCCACAAACAAATCAACTGCTTTCATTCATCATATTTCATGTGCTGAAGGGAAGAGCTAGGCACAGTTCAGCGAAGACCCAAATCTATTTCAAAAACACATCAATTTGGCGTCCTGTTAACGTGCGTACCAGGTTCAGTCCCCTCCTGTTGTTACGTTAACAGAAAGAAACTTGAATCACATTGTACGTTTCAAATGTAAACGATTTAAAAGTTGGCACTAGGGCAAAATTTCCTGCTGTTGAGTTCGACTCAAACCCTGTTACTCTTTGTTTCTGGATTCACTGTACTGTATATATAGTTCCTCCACAAAATGAGTTCTGAATGACCAGATTTCAGTAGCTGTATTTCAATTTTGGTGTCTAAACCAGGAAACTCCTCAGGAGAAGGTTTTCGAATGGTTTTGATTTTTTTTCAGACGTGCATGTGGTCCGCATGTCAATTTGATGTCATGTCAGCACGATGGATGTGCTGTAATGTTGAGTTTCAGTATTACACAGGGTTGAAGCTCTGTCTAATTCATGCTTCAGAGAAGAGGACTTTGCGATTGTTGTACGGTGATGGGTTGAAGCGCTGCTGCAGTGTAACTGTGCACAGATGAAGATAAAATTATAGAACGGCTCGAATGACTGAAGGCAATCATGATGTCTGGTATGTGAAAAGGAAAAGGTTTTGATCTGCCTGTGTCGTTTGGACTGTGTTCCACAAATATAAGTCAAATATTAGCAATTGTTTTTCCATTTTATTTTATTTAAAAAATCTATTTAATCTTTAGGGAGTTGACACATTAGTGTCAGGCAAAGGGCGAAACTTGATATTCTGGAATGTTGTGAACACTCAGACAAAAACAAACAGAAATATATATATATATATGACAATCATAATTCATTTCTTCTTTGCTGCGCTTTCCTCTGTCCTGTCATGCGTTGCACATCTAAAGACTGGTGCTGATTATTTTATTTTTTTAAAACTTAGAAAATTCTGTTCAAGAGAGTCTAAGATCATGTGCCCTTCTGCATGTTGTGCAATGCGAATCAAAAAAACAGAATGTGTGTAATTTATATTTATATACGAGATTTTTTGGTTTCTAGTCATGTTAGCTTTCTTGTGTTCACAAGAAAAACTTCATATTAGTAAAAGCCAGTGTGCTGCTTGAATGAAAACGGAAAGTATTTTTGTATGAAATATCCTTGACATTCCTTCAGTCACTGAAGTGTGAAAGTCCCAGACGCGCTCAGGTGTGACGTCTTGGCGCAGACGTCTGGAGTTTGCTAATCTTTTGATCAAATCAGATGTCTATTGCTGATCAAACTACACTCAAAGGAAGCACTCCAGAGATTACTTTATACACCTTCTAATATCAAATTTCCCATTACTGAGAGCTGATTGACGTCCTCATTTGAACTGTTTCTCAAAGGTTTATGAACGACGTAACTGCTTCTTCTCAGCGTTTAGTTCTGCCTCCCCTGAGTGCACTAGAGAAGATGAGGAAGATGTTTAGTGGGTTTGTGTTTTAGATGCTGGTTAGACACAAACAGCACAGATTATGACGTGCCAGTGCCTCTTGTTTAATCACCTGCTGTTCTGAGATTAGCATTGGCTAACAAAAAATGCTTTTTATTGCTATAGACATAAGAGAAACTATTATTTTTGAGTCAGATTTAACTTTTTATTTTTTCAGGGGAGCATTTTGGCTGGTTACTAGATGGTCATTATCTGGTAACATCTAGAATCAGTTACCAGTGTAGTCTATAGAAATTTGATAGATGGAATTATATGCAAATGATATACTTGATATACAAGTTCATATTTGGATTTCATATGATACATATATTAATATGTCAAATATATGTAGGAAACATATATTTCGAAATATTGCAAAAATGGCCATTTAATTTTTTTTCCAGTCTTTGGAATTTGAAATATGTAAATATATTGCTAATATAGAAATGTATAGCTAATATATTTGAACATATATGAATATATTGAAATTCCAATGGTTTACAAAAAAATGTAACTTTTTTTTTTGCAATATTTTAAAATATATGTTATATACAGTTATGTCCACAAATATTGTGACATCAACACAATTCTAACATTTTGACTATACACCAACTCAATGGATTTGAACTGCAGACTGTCAGCTTTATTTAAGGGGTATTTACATTTAAATCAGGTGAATGGTGTTGTTTTCTGTGGTCTTCCAGGATTTTTGGTGTTGTTTTGGCCACACCTAATGCTTCTGCTATCTCTCTGATGGGTAAGTTTTGATTTTCAGCCTAATGATGGCTTGCTTGACTGATAGTGACAGCTCTTTGGATCTCATCTTGAGAGTTGACAGTAACAGATTCCAAGTGCAAATTCCACACTTAAAATGAACTCTGGACCTTTTATCTGCTCATTGTAATTGGGATAATGAGGGAATAACACACCTGGCCATTGAACAGCTAAGAAGCCAATCGTCCAATTATTTTTGATCTCTTAACTAGTGGCAGGCACATATGAAAACTGTTGTAATTCCCACAGCGTTCACCTGATTGGCAGTTAAAGCATGTCTTGTTTGTTTTATTTCAAATCCATGTGTTAGTGTACAGAGCCAAAAATGTTAGAATTGTGTCGATGTCCAAATATTTATGGACCTAACTTTATAAATATTAGACATGTATGCAACATATATTTCAAAAACTTGAAAAATAGCACATTTATTCACATTTTTTCAATCATTGGAATTTGAAATATGTACAAAAATGGCTAATATAGAAATGTACAGCTAATATATTTAAACATCTGAATATAAAGAAAGTCCAATGGTTGACAAAAAAGAAACATTTTTGCTATATTTCAAAATATTTGTTACATATATTATATATTTTATGTATGTGAAATCCAAATATGAACTTGTATGTTATATATGTTATTTACATGAATCGCTTTTATGTCAGAAACAGATATAATCAGTTTTTTCCCAGTAGACTTTTCAAAATAAGCATAAATAAATCCAAAAGTTGCAATTTAAGCCAATCAGATGCAGTTCAAGTGTTCGCCATTTTACAGTGTGCATTGTTCCTTAAACAAAATCTTCTTCGTCCCTTCATCACATTTATTACCCATTTGTGATGTTTCTATTATCATTTTCCCAGCCAGGCTCAAACATTTACCCTCAAATGTCTCTTGAGTTAAAGGTTTGATTGTTTTGCAGACGTCCATGTTTTTTCACAGTGTTGTTTGCACATGCGGATGTTTGTGTCTTTGCTCTTTCTGTTCACTGATTGGGTGGCGAGTGGTAGATGAGAACTATGACTCTCACTTTTTTCTCTTATGGTCCTGTGAATCTCTGCTCTGGTTTTGGAGACTGCACTTTATTCTCTTTCCCGTCTTTATGTCTTTTACTCTCTGGCCTGGATTTATACCCCAAAAGTGTCTGTTCTGATGAGGTTTTAGGCCTCATGGGTTTGTGTGAGTGTGTGTGTTGTGAGTGTATGTATGTGTTGTTGTGTGTTACCTGATCAGGTGACATCACTCTTGCCATGGGTGGCGAGAGCGTCAATGCATTTATATTGTACCAGGTGAGAGATGGAAAACGATACCTGGCATAAAACAGCCATCTCTGCTGATACTCCGCAGAAAACACATGGAAGATGTTGTAATATAAGACATACAAAAAATGTTTAGAAAATTATAGTTGTTTATTTTATAAGATGTCAAATAGATTTAAATAAATTTATATACAGTGTATGATCTGAAAGAAAAAAAGAGGTATTTTGTAACAGATTAATTATTGAAGTGTCTTACTTTGGGGGGACGTAAAGCTTTCTGTTTGTCAGTTCAGCGAGTTGATGTTGCACAGTCCATTATGTATGGCTTGTTTGTCCTTCTTCTACTCTTCTTTGTACATATACCATCACAACAAGCTTTAACATATTGTTAATAATGTTTTAAAAGAAATTAATAATAAAAAAGTTTACATTCTGAAACTGTTTGGATGCTTTATGTTAGTGGCCCGGGGTTATTTTTACTTCAGTTCAGGCCTATGGTGGAGTTTTTAGTATGAGTTAAACACAAAGTAAACACCACAGCATTTCTTAATATTGTTGCTGACCATCTCAATCTGTTTACCACCACAGTGTAGCTATCTTGTAAAGGCTTTTTTCATGGTCCTGTCATCTTAATATTGATGAAATCTCTAAAGAATGTTTCCAGCACCTTGTTGAATCAGTTCCATATAACATTAAGGCAGATTTGAAAACAAAAAGGGCCACTTGGTGTCAGCAAGGTGTACTTAAAAATACACATGAATCTGAAAACCAGTTATAATTCAGTAACAAATAGAGTTTTCTATGGCTGGACATCATCATATAACTGTTTTGGTTTTGTATATGTAATGGATACCGTATCGACTGCTGTTGTCACAGTTAGAAATACAGTTCACCCAAAAATGTATCATTTACTTGCCTCTCACTTGTGCCAAACCAGTTTGGCTTTGTCTTGTTGAACACAAAAGATTATATTTTGAAGAAACCTGTAAC